TGAGGCAATAGCTTTGCCTGAATTAGAAGTAAGCCGGGTTGTGAGGCTTTATTCACCACTTTATCCTAGTCACAGGTAAATTAAATGCTGAAGTTCATTACTATATTTGTCGTGTTTGAAGGTTAAAGAAGGCACAGATCTTTTCATCATAGATGAAGTGGGCAAAATGGAGCTTTTCAGTTCTTTATTTTTTCCTGCTGTTTTGAAAGTTCTTGAATCCAATATCCCGATTCTGGCCACTATACCCATACCCAAGTCTGGTCGTGACATCACTGAAGGTATTTACCAAGATAACAATTAACATAATTAAATTTCATTGAACTATCAACATCGTGATTAATGATTAATTCCCCTTTTTTCCATCTAGTGATCTTGCTTGTTTCTTTTTTCAATCTTCATGTTCTATTGTTTCCTTTCAATGGACATACTACCTCATGTGAATAATTTTGGAGAACTAGTTTATCTCCACCAATTTTTAGAGGATTTTGCCGTATTTGACTCTTGCTATTGTGACAATAATTCGAACTTTTTAAAAGAAGTTTGGTCCCTTTTAAGGTTTCGTTTGGTTATTCTATAGGAAAGGTAGTTTTAAAATTGTTGTTTAAGATAACAGAGTTTTCTAATAGAAAAATTAATATAAAAAACTTTTGAGAATAGTACAAAAACAACGCGATTCTAAACCTATTTAAGAAAAGTAGTTTTTTCAAACAAATAAATTTTTTATGCTTTATCGTTGCCAAACGGAAAAAGCATTAAAAATGAACAAACAAACGAGCCCTAATTGTGTTTATCTATACAACTCTCTCTTTATTATCATGAGTATCCAGATATCTTCTTCTAGGTGGAAGTACGTTGAGCCTGAACCCTCTGAGTGAAGGTTCTCTTTTAAGCGACTGTGTTTACTATCCTTCGGCAGGCCGCAGACCCAAAATGAATTCTAAGTGAAGCATTGGACCTTAAGACATGTCGTACTGTTCACTACCAGGAATTCAGCTATAGCGCTCTAGAGTTAAATTTATGGCAATGGTAGCTTAGCCCAGATGTCACATCAGGAGAAAAACCAAACTATACATTGAGCTTGTGAGAAAGTTAGTTCACACTAGATTTATTTATTTGCAAATTATGTTATTTGACATTCTTGTAATTTACACTTACTGAATTTCTTTGCAATCATTCAAATACTCCTAAATCTCTCTAGGCCACAAGCCAGTTGTCTAATCTTTCTTTTCTTCCTCTTGTTCTGTCTCTTCCTCTCTCTCTTCTTCTCTTCCCCCTCTTCTTTAATCTTTAACTGTTTACCTCATCTTTTGTTGATCCATCCATCTATTTCTTTCCTTTCTTCATCAGTTCTGCTTGATTAAAAGCACATATACTTGTACTATGCAGTTTCTAGGTTACGAAATCATCCAGGGGCCGCAGTAAGCACACTCAATACCGGGAATAGAGATGCCATTAGAGTGACCATATACACTCAGATTGTCAGCTTACTGCAAAAACACTGAGGTTCCATTCTGGACGATACATGCTTCAGAAATTAAGCAGAGGGACCATTCGAAAGACAAACTTGCTGCTATAACGGTACAGTCTCCTTTGTGCATTTTTTTTTTTTTTCGTTGGCTGTGCTCTATGGTTCAAATATGTTGAGACAATGTTACCGTTGGGATGA